TCCCATCTCAGTGTGGGGAAGAGTGACACTCGATACACCTCCGGTCCACTGGTACACGAGCCCTACCTGGGCCTCCACATTCCAGCCAAGACCAGCAACTGCAGCACCCACTCTTACTCTGGTGTACACCTTTGTACTGACAGAATTTGACCGAAACCAGGACTCTGTCACTGAGCTCTGTGCCAACGCAGGACAGAAGCAACACTGCAGCTGTCTGGACAGAGCTGCGTGTGCGTCTCCCATCACCCCGGGCCCAGAAGGGGCCATCCTTCCATGCAAACCCTGCTTGTCACAGAATTATCTGTGGCATGATTTTGGATTAACCCTTTCTGTGCAGTTTCCTCATCACAAAAAAAAAAAAAAAAAATGTAGGGATCATGATCGTGGTCTGGGAGAATATGCAGTGCAAAAGATGTGTCCACCACTACACTGAACACACAGTACAACCCTGATTCTATTTACAAGAGTTATTTGTATTAAGAAAAGGATGATAAATAACCAAAATACCAAGCGTACTCTTGCACAAGGAATCGTCCAAATTCCTGAGGGACGGTAAGAACCAGACTTAACACAAAGTTAAGGTCTGGAAGGGTTACCTGAAGGGTTACCCTCCCTTCCTCTTTCAGGGCAGGACAGCTCCCTAAATGCCTCCTGGCTGTGCAAGCAGGCAGCCCCTTCTCTCTGCAACACAAGCACCCGCTAGGCTGTGCCCACCCGCTCCACAACACTCGAGACAGGCCTCTCCTCAGCAGCGCAAGCACCCTCTTGGCCAGGAGAGGTTCTCGGCCTTTGTTGGTCTCCAATGCTAAAAGGCCCAGCAGATGCCACAGCTTGCTGGGCTCTATTAGCTGCTTTCCTAGCAGGAGCTTTCTGCCATCACCACCAATGCTGCCATCACCAACTCTGCCACGGGTCCCCTTCTGGGCTCCTGGCTGGCTTCAGTGGCACAGCCCTTGATCCACGTCACAGCTCTATAGATAGTTGTTTGCTTCCTCTCTCTGCTTCTCTCTTCTTGCCTCTAAAAATGTCCTCTGTGGGTTGGCTGCTTATATACACAAATTCATTTTCAGTACCACAGCAAGGCCCTCCCAGTAGGAACATGAAATCACTGCCTATTTGTTGGACCACACATCACTCAATTGGAAGTAACTGATCCCTGAAAAGTTGTGAAATAAACCAATTACAGGGTAGCTGCACCCTGGACTAGACAAAAAGTATGAAGCCATCAAGCTGTTTATAGCTTATCCAGGAAATGTCAATCAACTTAGACAAAAGTAACACTCTAGGGCAGAAAACCAGGGCAAAGGTGACGCTTCAGGGTTTCAGGGAAACAAAAATCTGTCAAGCTGTTTTCCAAAGAGCTGAGTCCAGAGACCATGTAAGTGAACTCATTTCACCACACTAAGATTTCAAGTGAGATTTGCTTTTTCTACACACTTTGTTTTCTACAATGAGAACTTAATGCTTTATAGTCTGGGGAGGGGGATTAAACTTAAAATAGATGACAAAACACCCTTCAAAACCCACAAGTTGATGGTATTTTCTAATGAAGAGAATTTTTTAAAAAAAGGAAGAGAAGTGCTGAAAGTACTTATCAAAATTCATGTCCTAGGATTGAAAGGAGACTTAGATTGGTGTTTTATAACTTAATGTTGAGGGGCTATCACCCAGCCCCTAGAGCCTGGCACTTTGGACTTGGACTTAAAGCCTCCAAATTGTAAGAATAAACTGGTTTGTTAAAGCCATCCACTTTGTGGTATGTTTCCTGTCAGAGCGGCACTAGGTAACCAGAACAGAATCTGGTATCGAGAGGGGGCGTGCTGCTCTGACAGATACCTAAAATGTGGAAACAGGAGTGAAGTGCGTCCTTGACCCCAGACCCTGGCAGAGAGACCCCGGCATATGGCAGGACAGATGGCAAGAGACAAGCATGAGAGATGGCAGGAGCAGACCCCAGAGACTGGCATGAGAGGCGGCAGGAGCAGAGCCGAGAGAACCAGCATGTGACAGCGACAGCCTTACCAGCCCACAGAGGAGAAAGCTGGGTGCCATTGGGTAGAAGACTTCCTGGTAGAGTGGGTTGCCTTCAGGTATTAATTGGTAAAAAGACCAGCATAGTAGCAGATTGGCCAGCCCACAGAGGAAGAAAGCCAAGTGTTCTTTGGGCAGAAAGATTTCTGACGGAGTGGGTTGTCCTCGGGCATTAATCAGCAGAAGCGGAGACCAAGGAAACGGAAGCAGAGCTGCCTCAGCCTTAAGGGTAGTATAAGGTCACAGTAAGGAGAAAAGGATGCACAACAGTGAGGTTAAAGAGAAGTTTTTATTATGAGTTTCTGGGTGAGGTTTACGGGTCCCTGAGAGGGGCCCAAGAAGTCACACCCCTGGGCAGGGGGCATGCATTTTTATAGACACAGAGAGGACCTATCTGGGGACACCAGGGAAATGACAGGGTCCTCTAAGGAAATGGCAGGGTCCAATTAGCTGTTACCATGGGTCTGTACTTAACTAGCATGAGATGGCTTCAAAAGAGGAAGTTTGCCACTGCATGGGACTTTCCAGTCTGAGCGGGTTCTGTCACTTCGGTTGTCTTATCAGGCTGTCGCATCAGGGTCTGACACCTGGAGGCAGCTGCTAACTGAAATGTTGGTGGCTTGGGTTTGCTTCGGCCTAAAAGGTAGGACCATGGCCTTTGGGGGTGGAATGATCACAGGCCCCGAGGTTTGAAAGAACCAGGCCTTCACCAACTTGGTTCTGGAGTGTGGGGCTGCTTGTTCATGTGAGCCAGTGGGATGGAGCCATAACCACTGCCCAAGAGTGAGGGAGCGGGACTGCCATGCCCAAGAGGGAGAGGAACGGGGCCGCCAGGCCAAGGGGGTGAGGAACTAGGGGACTGGAGCCACCCAGTGAGAGAGATCTGTACGGTTACCACTCAATGAAGATCTGTACAGATGCCAAGTTGACAAGGGGTGGAACTGTGGTAGTTCGGTTTGTATCAACTTGGCTGGGCCTGGTTGAACGGCTGGGCAGCTGGTGATGGTTAATCCCCATGAGGAAACTGGCAATCAACTCCACGGTGGGATCTACCACAAGCAGCTGGGTAGCTGCCTTTGGGTATGTGGTCTGCTTCCTGTATATAAGGAGAAGCCTTTGGGAATGGTCTCTAGCCTATGGCACGCTTAGACCCCGCATGTAGCCGTATCATGGCTCAGCAGCATGCTATGCTCTGCCGACCCTGGGACTTACGATGGACTTAAGTTAATGGCCTGCCATGTGGTTTGGTAACATCGGGACTGTGCCTTTTTACTTGTCAACCTTGGGGCTTCTCAGCCTCAGCAGCCAGCAGTTGTCTGAGTGAAGAAACGCCTCTAGCTCCAGTGGGCCAGGAGCAGGAGGCAGAGCTGGACCCTAAGGTTGAGGGGCTATTACCCAGCCCCTAGAGCCTGGCACTTTGAACTTGGACTTAAAGCCTCCAAATTGTAAGAATAAACTCCTGTTTGTTAAAGCCATCCACTTTGTGGTATGTTTCCTGTCAGAGCGGCACTAGGTAACCAGAACACATGTGTACAATGGGAACCCTGGCTATAAAACTCAGTCTCTGGTGGCCAAGAAAAGTACTTACAACACTTTGGGGCTGTCACTACATTTATGCATCCAAAGCCAGCAATTTAAAAAAATCTCAGTATCCCCTTCTTTGTGTCTTCTCCAGACACCCCTATGAATAAAACACCTGCACAGACAGAGAAGGATTTAAGAATGGTTAAGAGGATCATCAACTGTGTTGAGATTTTAAGTGATTTTTATTTTCTCCATAGATTTCATACTTAAAGTCAAGTTTTCTACAATGAGAAGATACTGCTTTATATTTAAAAAAATATTAAAAGCTGATTAAAAAAACATGCTTCAAAACGTGGTAAGAATTTCTCATGAAGAGAATTTTTATATAAATGAGAAGAAGTGCAAACACTACTTACCAAAATTCATGTCCTCCGACCGAAAGGGAATTGAGGCTGGTATTGTTCACCTTACATCAGAAAATACAAAGTGGGCAATAATGTGCATAATGGAAAATTCCTTATTTCTAGAGATTCCTAACCAGGTATGAATTTATTTGTGCACAAAAATGAAAATGATGTGAATTGTGGCTTTCAAAGAAGGCTTACAGTCACTGGGTCTCTCCAGGGTGTGAGGCCTCACCAGGGTCCTGAAAGAGGAGGGGCACTGAAGGCTCCCATCACCTTTCACATATAGGATCTATCCACAGTGTAATATCTCACACATTGTCTAGGAATTTAAGACTTGTAGATGCTCCCAGGAATATTATGTTTACATGATGTCTCTCCAGTGTCACTACTCACGTCTCGTATGTGTAGAGGTGGCTTTCCCACATGCATGAATTAGGATGTTTGAAAATATGGAAGGAAAACAAAAACTTCTCCACATTCCCGACACTTTACATGGGTTCTCTACCATGTATGTTCTTTCAGATATACTGAAACAAAATGAAAACCAAGAGATTAAAGCTACCCATCACTTAAACGTGTTTAGTTTCTCCCCAATATCCTTCCAAAACGTGCTTAGTTTCTCCCCAATATCCTTCCAAAGAACAAGGGACATCGTAAGACTTTCCCACATTCCTTACATTTATAAAACTTCTCTCCACTGAGAATGCTTATATTGAGGCCTGAGGATTCCAAAAAGGATTTCCCACATTCCATACATTCAAAATGCTTCTCTTGAAGGCGGTTTCTTATGTATTCAGTGACGGATGAGGAGTAACTAAATGCTTTCCCACATTCCTTACATTCATAGTCTCTCACAACATAAGGTTACATATGTTAAGTAAGCACTGGAGACTTTCCAACATTCCTTATTCAGGACATCTCATAACTGTATTTTCTCTTACGTACAGGGAGGTTTGAGGAATGACTCCTCACACTCATAAGACCTCCCTACACTGTGAATCCTTGTCTGTGTACAGAGGTGTGTAACTGTGTTTTCTTTCACGTACAGTGAGGTTTGAGGAATGACTCCTCACACTTACAAGACCTCCCTACACTGTGAATTCCTGTATGTGCACAGAGGTCTTTGGAATCACGAAAGGCTTTGACACATCCCTTACATTCATTAGGCCTCTCTCCACTATGACTTCTTAAATGTCTACTGAGGTGTGATGACCGATTAAAAGCTTTGCCACATTCCTTACATTCATAAGGCCTCTCTCCACTGTGAATTCTCGTATGTGTACTTAGGTCTTTGGAATCACAAAAGGCTTTGCCACATTTCTTACACTCATAAGGCCTCTCACCACTATGAGTTCTTGTATGTCTAGTGAGGTGTGATGACCGAATAAAAGCTTTGCCACATTCCATACATTTATAAGGCCTCTGTCCACTGTGAGTTACCGTATGTGTACTGAGGCTTGAGGAGAGGCGGAAGGCTTTGTTGCACTCCTTACACACATAAGGCCTCTCTCCACTGTGAGTTCTCACATGTCTAGTAAGAACTGAGGAATGACGAAAGGCTCTCCCACATTCCTTACATTCATAAGGCCTCTCTCCACTGTGAATTCTTACATGTGTACCAAGACTTGAGGACTGACGAAAAGTCTTCCCACATTCCTTACATGCGTAAGGTCTCTCTCCACTGTGAGTTATTATATGTGTACTGAGGCTTGAGGACAGACGGAAGGCTTTGCCACATTCCCCACACACATACGGCCTCTCTCCACTGTGAGTTCTCACATGTCTAGTGAGGACTGAGGAATGACGAAAGGCTCTCCCACATTCCTTACATGCATAAGGTCTCTCTCCACTGTGAATTCTCCTGTGTGTATTGAGATTTGAGGACTGACGAAAGGCTTTCCCACATTCCTTACATTCATAGGGTTTCTCTCCAGTGCGAGTCCTCACAGGAGGGCTGAGGTGAGAGGGACAACTGCAGGCTTCTCCACAGTCCCTACGCTGACAGGCACTGCATCCAGAGTGAGAGATGATGTGATGCTCACGTGATGAACGATCCACCAAGGATTTTCCACCCTCAAGGCATTCGGAGGGACAAGCACCCACAGGAGTCCTTTTGAGCACAGAAAGATTTGCAATCCGGCTGAAGGTCTGTCCACACGGACTGTCTTCTTGACTTTCACAGAGGATCTCTGTCAGACGCCGTCTGTTAAAGATAGCAGGCAAGCTGTTGGACACAAATTTGTTACCATTTCACCATTACCATACACAGTAAATGTGCATTTGTGCCCTGAATTGTCTCGTTTCATAGATTACATCAGCTGGTAGAAATGCCACCACTACTGTCTATCTGTAAAACATGGAACTTTCTGCTAATAACAACTATATGTAAGTGATATATGTTTAAAATATTCAACACCCGAGTCACATTTATGAATATATGGACTGTGAAAGTGATGTGAACACATATTCAAGTCACATCTACAAACGTATGGACTGTGAAAGTGACGTGAACATACGTCAGAGTCATATCTATAAACATACAGACTATGAAAGTGATGTGAACATACATCTGAGTCACATCTATGAACATATGGACTGTGATAGTGATGTGAACATACATACCAGTCACATTTATAAACATATGAACTGTGAAAATGATGTGAACATACATCCAAGTCACATCTGTGAACATATGGACCATGATTGGGTGGTGGTTGTTATGTGCCGTCGAGTCGGACCCGACTCACAGCGACCCCTCCTTGGGTTTCCGAGGCAGTACCACTACAGAAGTAGATTGCCCCATCTTCCTTCCGAGGAGTGGCTGGTGGGTTTGAACCGCCAGCCTTCTGGTTAGCAGTCAAGTGCCTTAGGCACTATGCTACCAGAGCTCCTATGATAGGATTAGGACTGTGGAAGTGACATGAACATACATTGGAACATATACCAAGGACGGCACAAAGGGTTTTCCCTTGACTAGAACCTACAGACTGGTTGTTGGAACCTTTGGCTCTGCCATGAGTTAGAACAGACTTTATGGCAATGGGCTTGGGGAACACAGACAGTCACACACCACATCATGTCCATTCGGGCAACGTCTGACCACACGTACATCCATGATCCCATAAATTATAACAGCGTTCGGCAATCTCGATGCATTAAAACCCTTTACATATTACTGCAATGTTTTGATGTGCATTGCAAAGCGCTCCCATTATTATGAATCATTGCATGTACCATGAATTTTTAATGTGACCCTCATGTGAGACAACCATGATGTAAATACAGGTTATGGTAAGTCAGTAATTCATAACCTGATGATTGCCTCTTACAGTATGGTGGTCATACAGTGTCCAAATCACATAATGTCTTATTTCACAGAGTATATCATGGACATTAAACGACACACGACTGTGTATGTGTGTGTGTAATTAGAACCCACCAGCTGCTCTGCAAGAGAAAGATGTGGCAGTCTGTGTCCATAAAGATTACAGCATTGGAAACTCCATGGGACAGTTCCACTGTATCCTATATGGTCATTGAGTCAGATTCAACTCAACAGAAATGGGTTGCTATGCATGTGTGTGTGTGAACAAGCCCAACCCAGTGCCATCCAACTCAGTGGATTCCAACTCACTGATTTATTTACACACATGCATTGGTATGTATGTGTGTGTGTGTGTGTGTGTATACATACTCCTCGTTTACCAACATGGTTAGGTTACAAAGACCAGTATGTTATGCGAAAATTGGCATTATGCAAAAAGAGAGGATGACCACATCAGGTAACAAAATGGTGAAGGGTGAGTACAAATTACATAACTGCCAATCACTGAGAATCATAGTCCAGCCAAGCTAACCCCTAACCTAAATCATCTAGTCAGAATTACTCTCAACTCACACCTCAGCATTTGTTACTGCAGACGTACATCATTAACGTGCAAAACAATAGGCAGAATGTGGGATAAGTCGTGAGTGAGGACCAGATGACCAAACCCACTGCCATCAAGCTGACTGTGACTCCCAGTAACCCCTCCTTGGGTTTCCAAGGAGGTAGGCTGCCCAGTCTTCTCTCCAAGGAATGTCTGCTGGATGTGAACCGCCAGCCTTCTGGTTAGCAGTCAAATGCCTTAGGCACTATGCCACCAGAGCTCTGTGTATATTTTGTTATTGTTGTTACGTATCGTCAAGTTGATTCCAGCTCACAGAGAACACACGTAATAGATTAGAGCTGTGCCATAGGGTTTTCTTGGCTGGACTTCTTACAGAAGCAGAGTGCCAGGTATTTCTCCTGCAGAACCACTGAGTGGGTTCCAGCTGCCAATCTCTGTGTTAGCAGTTGAGTCCTTTAACCATTTGTGCCACCTGGGTTCCTTACGTATAAATATTTTAATGCCACACCTTCTTTAGACTCCCTCCCGGAGCACTGCTGTCTCTCCTGTGAATGACACTCACCTCATGTGTCTTTTCTGGTTGTTATCCTGATCTTCAGTGCCATGCAGTTCGCAGGTAACTCCTACCACGGAGGACCGGGAGTCCTTTTTCATAACTCGTACTATTGTATTTTCAGTAGATAGCTTATCTCCATCATTAAGGTTTCGAGAAACTGACCAACAATTTAAGTTGAGGTTCACAATATGAAACAAAAAGGAAATGAATTGCTTAGAGGGAAAAGGCAGCTGTGAGAAAAGAAAGACTGGCATATTTTGTGGTATCAATACTTGAGCAGTGGTCACAAAGCAATGTACTAGGAGATATTTCCAAGCAGACTGACAGTGACGGTGACATAAACAGGGTGTAATTAATTAGAGGAGCAAGTGGAAAATTACTAGACACAACACACGTGTAACACTGAAAGAGGAAAACAGGACAGTCTTTCTCCATGAGCACAGATGGGTTAGGAGTGGCGAAAGTCAGAAAAGCAAGCTCAGGTATCTATTAACTACAGACTCCTCAATCCAAAAAGATAAACTTGTAATAAACACAGCAGGACCCGTCCATGTCCCAGACAACAGCCATCCTCTCTGTGCACCAAGAGATGCTCATACTAACTACAATGAAAGAGCCTTCAGGCTTTTAACCACAATTGAAATGAGAAGTCATTTCAGTAGAAACAACTTTGTGTTCATGGGGAAGCCAGGTTATGCATGCTCCAGGGAGCAAATTATCAAACCTGTGTCACTTCACAATGTCTTTTCATACCTTGGCCTAAAAACTGGAGTAATGCTGAAGAGTATGACATATTTGTTCACGAAAGACTGAAATGATGCCATACGTACCTACTGAGGCCAAGTTTCTGAAGGTTTCCATCATCACATCTCTGTAGAGTTTTCTCTGATTAAGATCAAGCAATGCCCACTCTTCCTGGGTAAAGTCCACAGCCACATCCTCAACAACCACTGTGTCCTAAAATATCCCACATATTGTGGTCAGCATGGTACCATGTACTCCCATGTGCATGAAAGGACGGGAGAGGCTGACAGGCCTGGGAACTCAGATTTCAAGGGATTTGACACAGGGTTCTGTGCTGTACTGAGGTCTACTGCAGGGTTTAGCCATCAACCTCACCCCTTCACGGTCTACACTGCCATACTTCCAACACAGTGAACTTCTGTCTCCACATTTTTTGACCAACTAAAGCCTTATTCCTCTCTATCTTTATGGTCTAGAACAGTCACAACCCAAAGTATAAACTGCAGAAATGATCTATAATGAAAGCCTTATTCCTACATTCAGAGCATTTCTTCCATGTTTAAGGGAAAAAAAAAAAAATTACCTCCTTGCACAGGACCCACCAGAATATTTGATCACACATGACGCACAGGATGAAATCAGGATAATATGTTTATACCTGGGACACACTGCAAGACAGCAGTTGTTGCTTTTGCCCCTCATCAGCCATGGGAGCCCCAGTGGCCTACACAAAGTGGCAAACCAAAGCTCACTGTATTGACTTAAAGAATCCAGGCCATCAAAGGCTGATAAGACCACCTGCTGGAAAGAGAATTATTATTTTTGTAAAGTATGAGTTTTTCCATGTCTGTCACCAACTTTTCAAGTAAGTCTGTAATTATACTGTCATGTACTCTGTCCCTTCATGCACAGCCCATGTCCCTTCATGGGTGTTGAAAAGAGGAATGGAGCTCAGGTTGAGATGCATGAAATGAGAATCTAGAGATCATCACAATTTTCACACTCTAACACCAACACCAATTGTTAGTGACGCTCCCCTCAACAAACACAACTAGACACCTACACTAACACCTACACAAACAAATGTTAATGTTCTAAGATGAGCCCTGTCTCTGAAGAACCAGAGTAGCATGTCTTTGTGTTTGCTGACTGTGCAGGTTAAGAGTCCCATTCTCTAGGAAGTTCAGGGACGCGCAGGGGCTTTAGCTGCTAACCTGCTTGTGCATCCTAGGAAACAGAGACTCGTGCACCAGCCCTCCTGATGCTCCACTCCAGAATTTTCTCCCATTTGCAGCCCTCAGAAGGCACACATGCACGACAACCCTGACCACCGGCATCCCGAGCTGCAGGACTGGCCTCTGTGAAACAGCATCAACCCTTGGGCCCCCACATGGAACAATGAGACAAAAGGCTGCTACACTGCGCTTCCGATGCTAAAATGTTACTGAACACCCGAGTGGCTGTAGAATAGACAGATTATAGGGCGACATGAGCCATCAAGGTCATCCTTAACCAGTCCAGCTACAATAGCATCTCAGCCAACTTCGATAAAGTGCCACATTTGAAAGTCTCCTCCACTGCAATGGGCCAGGTTACGTATTTTAAAGCCGCCAAATGCTCTAACTTCCATTCCTACAATATTGTGTCTAAATGTTGCATTAACTGAGCAACTATGACTTCTGAAGGGATCTGCAACAGGCTCTCGGCAGGCACACTAGCTCATGTATCCCCCCTGCCTCTCCTAAGCAGACACTGCTTCAAACGGGTTACAGCCCAGCAGAGTTACAATCAACCAATGGCACGGTCAGTATTGCTCAGCCAGGTCAGGATGCAGGACTCAATTCCTGACAACTCCACTCCTGTTCACGTGCCTACAGTGTGCTTGCTACTGTTCATCCTCAATTACATGCCTGATCCAGGGCCCTGCTGGGTACTGGGGAGAGGAGAGAAAGGGCACGTCCTATTCGGGTCAGACAACCTGGAGCTCTTTCTCCTGGCCCAGCTCTGGGTCTCAGCAAGACGGCTTCTCTTCAAGCTCCAACATTTATGAAAACTGATTCAGTGCTACCGACACAGAACCTACCTGACACGAACAAAGCAGACACGTCCAGATGCACATAGATCATAATTCCTCTGGGTGTGGGCAGTAAATAGGAGAAGTATGTGTCAACTCCCCTAGGCGGTACAAGCAGTTAAGCGCTTGACTGCCAGCTGAAAGGCTGGGAGTTCAAATCCACCCAGAGGTTCCTCAGACAGCAGGTCTGGCACTTTGGTTAGCAGTCAGATGCCTCAGGCACTATGCTACCAGAGCTCCCCTCCTGCCACCCCAGGTAACCACTAATATCCTTTGGTTTATGTGGTTCTCTTCCCAACCTATCGAGAGATTTTCCCTCCTCTCCCCTCCCCTACCTGGTGTGTGACCTACTCTAATTTTACAAGTTTACAAGAGGGGAGACTTATCTAGACTTATCTACATCAGCAGCAATGCCCAAAGCTGCTAACCAGAAGGCTGGCGGTTCAAACCCACCAGCCATTCCTCGGAAGGAAGGTTTGGCTCATCTACTTCCATATTGATACTGCCTTAGAAACCCAAGGAGGGGTCACTATGAGTCGGCTCCGAATCGATGGCGGTGAGTTTGTTTTTTAGACTCCTGTTACTTAAACTACATGAACACACCTTGTTTACCAAGGGTTGACAATAAAACCTGGAAGCAATCCCTTACAACATGAAAGAAATGTAATTTTCATGTAATAATTTTATAAAGTCATGTGAAGATGCCTTCATTTTGATCTAACTCATCTTAGCTCAGAAAGGCTTATGTGTCTAAATGTTTGATACCTGGGTCTTAGGAAAGTTACATTTATGTTCACTAAAGCAAGCTTTGTAAAAGCAAAAACAAATGACACAATCCAAGTGTCCGTTCAAAGACACACGGTCAAAACCACCAAACTAAGATCAACATGTAATATTATGGAGTTTTACAAGAATTTAGATTTAAGCTCTCGATGTATCTGTAGTGCAGTGAATTACTTTGTATGGCTTTTCTAGCCATAGTGTTAGTAATTCCCACTGGATTACTGGGTGGGACCATGCAATCTATGATGTTGGGATTGTTTACTTTTGTCACTCGGCCAGCCTTAAAATTAGCCTTCCTTGAGGCAGAGGGGGAATCTCGCTGCCATCAAGAGACAAGAGCTGGAGGTAAAGTGGAGCGCGTCCTTGGACCCAAGCTCCCTGCACTGGACCTCCTTGGCTGAGACAGGGACACCTGGGTAAGAGACAGATGCCCAGGTGAGAGATGGCGGCAGTGGAGCCAAAAGGCAGGAGACAGACCAGCAGGCTGTCTGGCCCATGGAGCGAGAAAGCTGTGTGCCCTTGGGCAAGAGGCTTGCTGGCGGAGTGGGGTGCATATAGGTGTACCTATCGTCAGAGCTAAAAGAGCTTTGTAATACCTGCCTGAGCAGGGCAGAGGCCAGGCCAAGAGGCCAAGGGCCAAAGAGGTGAGCCTGGGGGCATAGTAGAGGGGAGACTGTCCTAATCAAAGAATTGTATCCTGAGAGCATATTACTTCTCTAATAAACCTCATAATCATGAATATTGTCTGCGAGTTCGGTGTGGCCATCGCAACTAATTATCAAACCCAGTAGAGAAGTAGTGAGTGCGTAGAAGGAACGGCTGGTGTCAGAGTTGGTAAAAGGCTGCAGAGTGGTGGCATGTCTGGCCTTGGCTGCTGCTGGTGATTCTGTTTTCTTCTTGTGAGGTTGGAAGAGGTCAGAAGATGTCAACCTCATGTCCTTTTAGCAGTATTGGTATAAAAAGATCTCTAGGAAAATTTGTTACTTAAAAATCAAGTGTAAATTCCAAGCTACCTTTTGTGTAACAGAGTAGGACAAATATGTATTACTTTTGAATTTTCACTCTTACATCAGTTAAAATACGCATTCCTCTGAGTTTGAGAAGTTTATATCCATTAAATTGAAAAATTCTCTGGAGAAACACAAACTGGTCTAGAAACTTTCTTCCAACAGAAAATAGAAACCCAAGGAGTTACTCACACCGTCTCCTATGTTGAGCTTGTCTACCAAAAAAGACCATTTTTATTTTAGATTCCAATTCAAGACTGTGGAGAGCAGATGAAAATTACAGGGATTTCATCCCAGCTCTAGACACAGACAGGTGTGAGGACAAGGACTTAGTCCAAGAAGTCATGCTTCTCACACGGCTGAAAGCCTCCAGAAAAAAGCATCCCCCTAAAGGATGGATTTGGACACCCCACACATGACCCAGCTGGACTCACTGTCCCCTGCCTCATTCCACTGCTGAATTCATGACAAAACCAAGCCTCACCCAGGA